CCCCCCTCCCAGGATTCCGATGCTAACAGCCCCCCGAAAAAGGTACATGATGAACGGCGGCCAACAAATCGTCGGCGGGCTTCTAGCGTACTGCTTCAGCCTCATCGGACGCCACGGCCCCACAGCCCTGAAATCCTGGCAAGCCCTCTTTTTAACGTACGGCTGCATCTCCGTCCTCTGGGGATTTTTCGTGCTGTGGTGGATGCCCGACTCCCCGATGAAGGCCAAGTGCTTCAACGAGGAGGACAAGCACCTGATGGTGGAGCGCGTGCGCGCCAACCAGACGGGCCTCCAGAACAAGACCTTCCGCGCGTACCAGATGTGGGAGGCCTTCCAGGACCCGCAGATGTACTGCTACTGCGCGATCCAGGTGTTCACGACGCTGCCGACGAGCGGCCTGGGCGCGTTCGCCAACATCATCATCACGGGGTTCGACTTCACCGAGCTGCAGACGCAGCTGCTGGCGATGGTGCTCGGGTTCTATATCATCTTTGTGCTGCTGACCAGTGCGTTTTTGGTGAAGCGGTATAATCAGAATATTCTGGTCATGTTGGGGTTCATTATTCCGTATGTTGCCTGCTGCCACTTTCCCCCCCCCTGAGTAAGGGTTTCGTGTGTGTGTGTGTGTGTGAGTGTGCTAACCCTAACGAATGCAAGCTCCTTCATCGGCACCATCGTGCTCATGACCGTCGAGAACAAAAACCTCAGCACCAAGGTCGGCCTGCTGATCAGCTACTACATCACGCTGTCCTTCTGGTCCGCCCAGAACCTGTGTCTGTCGATGGTCTCGCGCAACATCGCGGGCGCCACGAAGAAATCCACCGTTGTGGCGGCGACGTTCGTCTCGTGGGCCGTGGGGAACGCCATCGGTGCGTTTGCCGCCTCCTCCTCCTCCTCCTCCTCCTCCTCCTCCTCCTTCCTTTGTCTTCCCTCCCCTTTGGCTCCCCGAGGTCTTCTTGCATACCCATACACACAAAAGTGTCCAAGCTACCCCCCTCGAATGCATACTGACGGAAGTGGACAGGCCCCCAAGTCTTCCTCGCCCGCGACGCCCCCCGCTACTTCATCGCCTTCGGCGTCCACCTCGGCTGCTACTCGGCCATGACCCTCGCCGTCATCTACCTGCGCTTCCACCTGATCGCCCAGAACAAGAAGAAGGAGCGCCTGCTGCGCGAGGCCGGCGTCAGTCTGGAGAACCCCGGGGAGGGGGGCGGGGATCACCTGGCGCATGCGTTTGAGGATCGCACGGATCGCGAGAATTTGCATTTTCGGTATATCTATTAGGTTGCTTGCTTGCTTGGTTCATGGATTGGATGGGTGGCTTATTGGGGGGTATGGGATTGGGGGGATTGGGTACCGAGTAGGGATATCTATCTAGGTTGGTTGGTCGGCTTTGTTGGGATTTAATTATGATGGTTGGGTGATTTATTGAGCACTGGGCTGGGCTGTGCTGTAGTGTAGTATAGTCTAGTATAGTCTAGTATGCTGTGCTGTGCTGTGCATTTATTAGATCGTATATCACTGTTCAGCGTAGCCGCTCTTAGACACTAGACCTCCAGCGTATCAGATTTGGAGAAGATAGATACAATTATGCATCGACAAGAGAAGAACACATGGTATGATACAACACAACACAACACAACACCAAACGCAACTGCATCTCCCTGCAAGTCCGCCTACAGAGTCTCGACCCCCTATTTCCATGACAACAGAACCCAGTCAGACACCTCCACAACATCTTCACCGTCAAACTTCCAGAAGCTCCCCAACACTCACAGCAGGATCCTCGACCGCCCGACCCACCATCCGCCCGACCGTCGCCAGCTCCCGCGCCGTCTCCTCCGCCGTCCAGAACGACCCGTCATACGCGAACTTGACCCGATACCGATCCGGCTGCGCCGTGCGACCGACCTCGAACACCACCGCATAGGGCTCGGGCATGCGCACCTCCGACCGCGCCATGACCAGCCACCGCGGGTACACATCCGGCCCAGCAGCTGGCGCGGCGGGTTCAAACGGCTGGAACAGGAACAGCGCCTGGTTGCGGTCGGCCGCGCGCGACAGGCCCACCGCGCGGTAGATGTCCGCGATGGCCACGGTGCTGTTCTCCGTGTACTGCCAGAACGCGTCCTGCGTGCGGCGCAGGAAGTCCGCCAGCGACAGGCCCGGGGCCACGTCGGACCGCATCGGCACGAAGTTCGCGCAGGTGCCGTTGATGCCCTGCGGATCGGGCAAGTCGATGTTGCGGCCCGTGGTGAGGTAGTCGAAGGCTACCGCCTGCTGGCCGCTGCGGCGGGCGAGCCACAGCTGGAAGATGGTCTGGAACAGGATCGAGACGGTCACGCCGTGCGCGCGGCTGTACTGGTCCAGCTGCGCGTGTTCGATCATGTGGACGGCGACGCTGGTGACCCGGACCTGTTCTTGCTGGGTGTGTTGGGGACGGGCCGGGGCCAGGTGGAAGCGGATCGGCCGTTTGTCGTGCTGCTGCCAGAAGGCGAGGGTCCGTTGCGTCTGGTTGCGCTGCCAGATGTGCAGGGCGAAATCCTGGAAGCTGGTGAACGGATCGACTGGCTCGTCACGCTGGTACTTTTGGCAGTGCGCGTCGAAGACCCGCAGCAGGGTGCCGTCGTACAGCCCGTGGTCGAGCTTGATGACCACCTGCATCTCCCCGTCGGCCATCCGGATCATGCCATAGCGGATGAAGGGTTTGCCAAACTCGAACCGCTGCTGCCAGATCGCATCGAGGATGTGTGTCCGTTCCTCAGCGCTACTGGCGTTGTAGAATTCCACGATCGGAGTGGCGTCCGGTAGCACCACGCCGTACCACTGGTCTTGGTGTTTCAAGAAAGTAGTACGCAGGATGTCGTTGGTCTCTGTCAATCGCTTGGCCATGGCCAGCCATTGAAGGGGATCGCTATCATAACCCAACGAGCGCACGGTCATCAGCGACCAGAACGGCTCGGCTCGCGCGCCCTGGGCGAGAAACTCGGATTGCCCCGGAGGACATGGGTAGATTGCCTCATACGCCTCGATGGCATCTTCAACAGCCGCCTGAACTTCGGGAGGCGGGGAGAAGAGGATGCCGGCTGCTGGTTGCTGGTCTTCCTGATCATCGCCGCTGCGGACGAGCTGCGATGCCATCGACTCCAGCACGGGGAATCGGAGGACATCGCGCACCGCAAGACTGTATCCCTCCTGTCGCAGCCAGCTGACCAGGTTGATGGCCGCGATCGAATCGCCTCCCAGGCCCAAAAAGCTTGCCTCCAGACCAAACTCCCCGTGGGGCAGCTGCAGCACCGTGACCCATGCTTCATGCAACACCTTCTGCTCCCGGGTGACTACCGGGATCACAGCCTGTAATTGGTCCGCCCCGATGGCATCGAAGGCAAACGGAGTCAGCCCCGCCTGGCTCAGCGCCTGCACGCGCGCCTTGAGCTGCTTGCGGTCGGCTTTCCCAGACGGCAGCCGCGGGAAGGCAGGAAGGGGCAAGAGGAATTTGGGGAACATGTAATGGGCCAGTCCTTTCAGCTTGGTCTTCATCCTCTGCATCTCGTCGCTGACCACATCCAAGGACAGGATCCGGTGATTGTCCCCCTCGTCTTCTGCTGCGTCCACTTGGGAATCGAAGGCCACCACCGCCACCAGGTGCGCCGTGTTGTTCTTTCTCCAGACCGTGAGAACGCACTCTCGAACCTCATCTGTCCGCATGATCGCCTGCTCAATCTCTCCCAGTTCAATGCGATGGCCGTTGATCTTGACTTGGTCGTCCTTGCGGCCCAGGCACTCAATGTCGCCCCCAGGAATGTATCGGCCCAGATCCCCGCTGCGGTACAAGCGCTGGCCGCCACGGATGTCGCTATGTACAAACGCTGCGGCCGTCGTCTCCGGCCGATTGAGATAGCCCCGAGACAGTTGCGGTCCCCAGAAGCACAGCTCGCCCACTGCGCCGTAAGGAACCGGGCGAACCCCGTCCTGCTCTAGGATCACGAGCCCTGCGGTGGGGAACACGGTTCCAATGTTCCCAGTGCGGTCCGTCTCCGTGAAGTTCTTCATGGTTACCATGACCGATGTCTCGGTAGGGCCGTACGCATTGATGAGTGTGACTTTGGACGCCCACGTCGCTACCACATCCGGGGTCAAGGGTTCTCCGCCCACTGTGATAGACTCCAGCGTAGGGACCGCCTTGGGGTCCAGCAAACGCGCGACAGTAGGCGTCAGGAAGAGATGGTTAACTCCCATGTCCCGGATGACGCCGGCCAGGTCTCCAAGGAGGCGCTCCGACGAGGCCAGGCAGACCGTTCCACCGCTGTGCAAGGTCGCAAAGATGTCATAGACCGAGGCGTCAAAGATATAGTTCGAGAACTGGAGTTGCTTGAACGGTCGCTGGTCTCGCTTCTCGAAGGCGATGATGGACTGCATCGCCGCCGCACAGCCCCGGTGGTGAATCATCACTCCCTTAGGTTGGCCGGTACTGCCGGAGGTGTAGATGATATATGCCATCGCGTCGAGAGAAACCTCGCCCTCCGGCTGCTCCGTCGAATACGCACAAAGTCTGGCCGTGTCGACCAAAACTTGGGGGATTGCATCTTCCTCCTTCTCATCCTCGGGCTTGGAGGCGAAGTACGAGGCGTGCTCCGTCTCGGTGAGAATTACGCGGGCGCCAACATCACGAACAATGAAAGCGTTGCGCTCGACTGGATTCTCCGGGCTCAACGGCACATAGGCCGCGCCGAGTTTGAGCACCGCCAGAATTGCCGTGATCAGGACAGGCGACTTTTCCAAGAGAATCGGGACGAGGTCCCCGGAGGACACGCCACGCTCGGACAGGAAATTGGCCATTCGGTTGGCCAACTCATTCAGCTCGGCATAAGTCAGAAGCTTCTCGTTCGCCCAGTTGACCGCCACTCGGGACGGATACGCGCCCGCAATGTGCTCGAACTGGCCGTGGAGGGTCCTCGGGGCCGACAGAGTGTCTTCGTTCCAACCGAGCAGCAAGTCAAGCTCCTCCTCGCCGAGTAGGTCGATCGAGTCCACAGCACGGCGGGGAGCCCCAATGATGGTCTGAACCGCACGGCAGTACTGCTCGATGATGAACCCAAGCTGGCGCACTTCCAAGGCGCCGACAAGGGTCACCTCGATCCCCGCCGCTCCCTCCTCGATATTCAACGTCGTGAATTCGGTCTTCCAAACCGGCTTTGGGCCAAACTGCTGGAATACTTCCTCCGTTACGGCCTGTCGCCCAGGCCCTCGGACAAGGATATTGACCAGGGTGTCGAACAATGCGGCATCGCCTTGGTGCCCAGCAGCGGAGAGCGCACCACGGAGACCAGCGTGTGCGTACTTGGTGGTCTGCCAAATATCGGCATTCACAGCCTGAACGAGCTGAGCCAACGACTGGTTGGGGCCCACCCGGACCGCGAGAGGTGCCACTGCGAGGGTTGGACCATCAAGTCGGTCGATCCCGGCCAGCGGCTGCTCTCTCCCGGACATAACCGTCGCCATAGTGACGGTCTTGGAGGCCGTATAGGATGAGAGGATCAAGGCCCATGCCGCATACAGGATGGCGCTTTTGGGAGCCTGGAGGGCGGCGGCCGCTGCCCGGAGGTTGACTGGAAGGGTTCGAGTCATGACCGATGTTTCGGCCACCGGAGAGTGGTTGAGGATTGTTGGTTCCGCCTCAGCCAGATGCTGCTTCCAGAACACCTGCGATTCCTCCTCGTGGCGCTGTTGCTGCAACAAGGCGACGAACGATCCCCAGGGAACCCGGGCCTCCGGAGCCTGGCCATAGTACAGGCCCGCGACATCGTCGAAGAGGAATCAATGAGACCAGAAATCAAATAGGGCGTGATGCACGGAGACCACCAGCAGTCCTCCATTAAGAACCGCGGCTCGCATAAAAGGCTGACCAAGAGTTACCCCTTCTTTCTTATCTTTCGCCAGATACCGAGAGAGAGCCATTGTCCCCTCCAGCCAGCGCAGTTGAAAGTCGGTGCGCACTACTTGCGCAAACCCTGGAATAGCCGCAACAAAGGTGGAGCGGAGAAGGTCGCTGTGCCAGAAGGCCACCCGAAATGCAAGCTGTAGCCTTACTAGGTCAAGGTGACGAACGTCGAAGACGCGCTGGTAGAGGTATTCGGGGTTTCCCTGGAGTGTACTGGCGAGAATTCCTTCCTGTAACGCCGTCGCAGGGAATGCATCCACCGCTCCTCTGTCGGCCAGGAGTTTGTCCTTGAGGAAGGCGTCGGTCAGCAGGGCAAAGGGCTCGGGCACCTTGGTTTCACCAGAGCTGCCGGTCGTAGCGCTGACTTGAGCGGCATCGGCGACGTCCTCCGCGGTCTGAGACTGCATCATGTCCGCGAGTTGAACATGGACTCCTCGGATCCGAAGGTCTCGAAGGACCTGGATTGCCTCAATGGAACTGCCACCGAGAGCGACGAACGAATCGGTCGGCAAGATGGACGCTGCGGTGACATGGAGATGTCTGGCCCAAACATCCACGATTTCGCGTGCGATCTCCGTGAAGACATGTTCCGACCCATGCAATGAGGTAGCATCCCGACCCAGAAGGTCTTCCACAGGAGTTAGTTCAGCAGCTTTCCGGATGGCGCGCAGATCGATCTTTCCGTTGCCGTTGACGGGGAACTCCTGGCATTGTAGCCAGTAGCTAGGCACCATGTACGAGGGTAGCTCGCGTCGTGCCTGGTCTCGGAGACTCTGGACGAGATCCGCCCAGCCAATCTGAGGCTCTGGAATGACAGCTGCGACCAAGGACGGTTTGTCATGGATATAGGCTCCAATACAGACAGCATCTACAGCCCCGTCTCCAGTGCGGAGCGTCGAGGCAACCTCCCCCGGCTCGACGCGCTGGCCATGAATTTTGATTTGCTGATCAATCCGGCCCAGAATCTCGAAGGAGCCGTCAGCACGATGAACCGCGAGGTCTCCCGTGCGGAAAACAATGTGATTGGGATTGGCAGGATCCTCAGTAAAAGCTGCAGCTGTTTCCTCAGGCCGGAGATAGTAGCCATCGGCAACCTGAGGACCTGAGAGACAGAGCTCTCCAGGAGTGCCCGTTGGTAATTGTTGCGTCGTGCCGGGTTCCCAGATCACGGCTTTGGTGGTGTCGACTGGACGTCCAGGGTTGCGGGCATTATCGCCTGGTTGCAGCTGGCGGGAGAAGTTGAGCTGCGCACATTCACTCAGCCCATACGAGACGCGAAGATGCACTCGATCGGCCCAGGCCTCTACCAAACCTGAACTCAGTGGCTCTCCGACGGTGGTCACTTGCTGGAGAGAATTCGGGATTTCTGTGGGAGAGAGTAACGACAAGGCAGACGGGGTGATACCCAGCGCATCGACCTTGAGGTTCTTCAGCACTGCCGGCAGTGCTGCGGCCAAGCGATCCCGTCGAGCCAGACATAGGCACGCACCCTTTGCAAGGGTGGCCAAGACGGTTCGTTGTGCGGCGGAAAAGACGGGGTTGTAGAAGAGCAACCACCGGCGGTGTCCTCGTAGGTCAAATTCACTGATCCCAAGGGAAGCCGCCCGGTGGCTGACCATTACACCCTTTGGGTTTCCCGTAGATCCTAACACAATGAATATCAGCTTGCAAACCTATATAGAGAGTTGGGTAATGGGGTAGGATAGTGAGGCACAACTTACCGGAGGTGTATACGAGGTACGCCAGGTCTGAGGGCGTAGCCCCAGAGGTCTGCTGGGATGGGGTCGAGGTAGGCTCTGCCAGGAGAGCTTCAATAGCAAGAGCTCGAGTGAAAGTCCCAACATAATTATCATTCACCATCACATAGGGTGCACCACAGTCATCAGCAATTCTCTGGTTCCGTCCGGCCGAACCAGCAGGGTCGAGCACCACGTAGGCAGCTCCGCGGAGCATGATGGCTAACAGCGAGGCCACAAAGACAACTGTAAGGTCCATACACACTGGGATGATCTCCCCGGGAGCAAAGTCGGCCTTGGCCGCAATTTGCTCGACGAGCTGCCAGAGCTCGCCATATGTGTAACCTCTGTTGTTCTCTTCCTCTACCGCAGTTGCTTGAGGGTTCTGCTGCACTTGGTAATGAATCAAGTCGGTGACCAGGCAAGGGACTTGTGGGGCCTTGGATGGGAGAGGGAATGGTTTGACCTGTCCATCCAAGACCGCGCCCTCAAGACCTGCTTCTGCAACCGGAGACATGCTGTGACTCCGTCGACTAGACGAGGGATGGCAAAAGAAAAGTCTGATAGTGTTGCTTGTTTTTCAAGTCAGGGCTGGTCTTCAAGAGGAGCTTTTATGTGTTGCCATCTTGCTGACAACCTCCGACTCACATAATGAATTCGGGTCAAGACAACATCCAATTATTGCTTCCTTTGATTCATCTTCGGCCATTTATTGCTGACAGCTTTCAATTCACGCAACGAACTCAATCGTACTCAGCTTCAGCCATTTCGTTCTCTGGAATCCGGCTGACATTCGTCCGGCTATCGCAATGAACTGGGTCGAAAGAAACTTCCAGGCATCGCGGCCTTCGCTCCAATTCGGTCAGTCGTATATTGCTGACACTTGTTGGCTCACGCAATAGATTGATTGAGTGAAGTCACAAATTCCAGGAATCGCTTCCTTCGCTGCTTTCCAGCCGTGCACAACTGACACCTTTGATTCACGCAATGAAATTGACTGATTGAGGTCACAGAACCTAGGAATCCGTTCCTTCGCTGCCTTCCAGCCGTGCACAGCCGTCACCGTCCGACTCACAAGGTGAAATGCAACTGGTCAAGGTGGCGATGCTTGGAACAGCCGGCTCGAACACAGAATCATACTTGTTTCTGCACATAAGACAATAAGCGATTCCTTCACTGCCCTACAGCCGTACACAATTGACATCGTCCGACTCCCAGAGGGAATTGCAAATGGTCAGTGCGGCAATGCTTGAATCAACCGGCTCGAAAAGACCAAAGTATACTAATTCCTGCACATGAGACATTGACCCTAAGAAAGAACTTTAGTTGGGGGCGGAAATGTCGTGACCAGAGTCGTGGTTGGTGCCCATTTTCCCAATTCAGCTACGAAATCAGGTATAAAATCTGACTTTCAAACTCGGGCACGGTACCAAGAAGAGTACATAGCCCAGCGTACACTGCTGCCTGCGAGCACACAAACCCCACCCACTCGTTCGGACCCTTGGAATCTTGCTTTAGTCGAAAATAGCCATGGCCGAAGCCCTCGTCATCCCCTCCGAGAGCGCGCAACCGCTCGACAACTTGCATGTCGACACCCTGCCGCTCCCGACCTGCGGGCCACGACAGGTCCTGGTGCGATTCATGATAATCCCCATCAATCCCTTGGACTTTGCCGTGATCGCTGGCCAGTACCCAGTAAAGTTGCAGAGCGTCTATACCAGTGAGAATGGGATCCAACACGCCATCCCAGGATCGGATGGCGCGGCCCGGATCCTGCAGACGGGGGCGGAGGTCGACCATCTCGCGGTCGATGATCTCGTCATCCTGCGCACGCATTGTCGGGGCACGTGGAGGACTCATGGCGTCTTTGACGAGGCCGATCTGATACGCGTGCCGTCCAACGCCGACCCTTGCGTGGCCTCCCTGCTCCGCATGGGCGTGGCGCCGGCCTTCTTCCAGCTACGCGACTACCACACGCTGGAGCCGGGAGATTGGATTATCCAGAACGCGGCCACCGGCACGATCAGTCACTTCGTCTGCCAGCTGGCACGGCTCCTGGGGGTGCAGGTCATCAGCGTCATTCGCGATCGCGCCAACGCCGAAGAGCTGGGGCAAATGAAGCGGTTGCTCCGCTCCCACGGGGCCTCGCTAGTACTCACTCAAGAGGAGCTCGCCACCCCGCGGGTCCTCGAGGGGAAGCGGATTGTTCTCGCCATTGACTCGGTGGCCGACGATGCGTTAGTGCGGACGATGGCAGCGGCCATGACCGCTGGAGGCACCGTGCTGACCGCAGGGTTCCTGGGAGGGGCCGCCCCTCCTCGACCAGAGGTCAATCTCCGGCACTTCCTGTGGCAGAAGAACATCAGCCTGCGGCCTTTTCGTCTCAGCGACTGCCTCAACAAGCGCAGTCCATCGCAGCAGACGGCGCTATTCGAGTGGTTCGCGGATCTGGTAGGCCGGGGGACACTGAAGGCGCCCGCACTGAAATTTCTGCATTGGCAGGCTGGATCCGAAGCGCAGGAGCTTGTGGCTGCCGTGCAGGGTCAGGCGCAGACAGTGGTTGGCCAACGCAAAGCAGTCATCATCGTTGGCGAGAGATGAGGGAGCGATGGTCGCGGGACGGCGACGTGCTTCTGTAATTGACATTGGATATTACCAATCATTATCTGTGACTAGCTACATTTACAATTGAAAGTGAAGCAATGCAATTCCAAAGCTCTCGTTCAAGCTGACGTGACGAACAAGCCTCGCCAAGTGCCGTAGATCCGCGGATATATCTCGCAATGGAGTAAGCACTAGCAGACACTAGTCCGCAAGCAATGGGCAAGGAATCATTTCGAGACGCAGTGAGACAGATTCACTGCGGTCAAATCCGGCACTAGACTCCACTGAGTCGCGAGGATCAGATTCCCGGAAGCCCACTAACCCTAGGCAGTTGGTGGTTGCTAAGCTCTTTCCCCTGGATTCGCGATCAGTCCATGCAGCTCAGAATAGGTTCCATCACGCAATTCTTACGGCCTGGCGAGTCACAACACACCACATCTGCAGGCTCGGTGCTGGAAGGCCGAGAAACAGCTCCTCGCTGACAAATTCAAACCCTGGGGGCATTGTAGATGGCTTCCCTATAATTGAGCTCACCAAGCAGCGAGTCTCTGCTTTGGCATCACCCGCATGCTTCCCTACCAGACAGACAGCACTTTGACGCCATGTCTCAGTCCCTGAGCACAAGCCCGGATGACAAGCCCTCCTCTCCATCCGCTGTTCTGATGGCCGATTCTGAAGCCTCGGAGACGGAGAAGCAGGCGCCCGCCAAACCGGCCGACACGGCTCCCCCGCCGCCGCCCGATGGTGGCCTGACCGCGTGGCTGCAAGTTGTCGCGGCGTTTTTTCTGTTCTTCAACTCTTGGTAGGTGGTCCCTCGGGCTCCTGTTCCGAAACAAGATTGTTTGATGCTCTTGGTGCTAAACCACCGTCCCTGCCACCTAGGGGTCTGCTCAACGCCTATGGAGTCTTCCAGAGCTACTACCAATCGGACTTGATCCCCGGCTACTCCTCGTCGGCCATCACCTGGATCGGCACCGTGCAAGGTTTTACCTTGTTGCTGGTCGGGGTGATTGTGGGGCCCATCTTTGACAAAGGGTATCTGCGTAGCATCGTCGCCGTCGGGACCTTCATGGTGGTGTTCGGGATGATGATGACCTCACTCTCGACCAAGTACTACCAGCTCTTCCTGGCGCACGGGGTCACGGTCGGCATCGGCTGCGCCTTTCTCTTCCTGCCCAGCATCGCCATTGTGGCCACCTACTTCACCTCGCGCCGCGCCGTGGCCACGGGGATCACAGCGTCCGGCGGCAGCATTGGCGCGGTGATCTACCCGATCATGTTCCACAAACTAATCGGCCCGGTGGGGTTCGGGTGGACGACGCGCATCATCGGGTTCGTCGCGCTAGCCGGGCTGGCGATCTCGTTGGCAGTGCTTAAGCGGCGCCTGCCGCCGCCGGCGCAGAGCCGAGCCCTGCTCGACGTCGCGGCGCTCAAGGAGCCGCCGTTCCTCGTGTTTGCGTTTGGCCTGTTCTTTAGCTTTGTGGGGCTCTACTTCCCCTTTTTCTACCTGCAGAGCTTTTTCACCTTCTACCTGCACAATGACAGCAGCCTGGCTTTCTATATCTTCGCCGTGCTCAACGCCGCCTCCGTGCTGGGCCGCATCACCCCGGGTCTCCTGGCGGACCGCATCGGGGGGCTGAACACCCTGGTGCCCATCAGCCTGCTGGCCAGCATCTTGGGCTTTGTGTGGATCGCCATCCGGAACGAGGGCGGCACCATCGTCTTCACCGTACTGTATGGCTACGCCTCCGGGGCGATCGTCTCCCTGCCGCCCTCGATCCTGACGCGCATGTCGCCGACGCTGGGCGTGGTGGGCACGCGCCTGGGCATGATCTTCATGTTCGCCGGCTGCGGGTTTCTGATCGGCACCCCGATCGCCTCGCTGCTGCTGAACCTGGAGCAAGGGTCCTTCTGGAAGGCTCAGCTTTTCAGTGCTATGTTTGTCGCCGCCGGAACCATCTGCTTCGCTATCGTGCGGCTGATGCTGTGGCGGCAGGGCGGGGGCTGGAAGATTTGATCAGGGTGTAGATGTACTTCATGTACCATCCTGATGAGCGATATGCTGGGAGTAGTTCTGCATCTGCTACATCTGTATCGATTGGCTGTGGGGGATGAGCCATTCCGCTCTATAGAGACGAAACTCCATGGAGCCGGGAGGAGCCGGTAGAGCTCCTGACACATGAAAGCAAACAAGGCAGCTACCTGTAGTCAAGATGTTTTGGAAAAGAAGCTCTGTATTCATACATGGTCATTCTCGGTGATTGAATATATCATCCAGAATATAACGAAAGTACAGCGAATGTTTTGCATGTTATGAGCGTGGGTGTGGGAGGTAAAAGATAAGATCGGAAGACAAGAAGTAAGCCTCGGCTGTAGGGGATACCATAGCGGCCAGGACTGCAGCTTGCTACGGCCACCTCTTCAGACCGGAAACGCAGTAAACACATACTTGAGGTTAAGTACAGTACAAAGTGTGTCCGATATCATGTCTTTTAATTTAGACATGGCCCTGGCACTTTGTATTCAGGCTAGGTAAATTTTATAGCTCAGAACTGTACTTCTGACGTGAAGATGGACTTCTGAGCTTATAGGACCGGTCTATCCAAAAACCTAGCATTTGTGTTTCTATAGCTCTATGTATATGTCTTGTGCGGATTGAGTGGAACTAATAATTCATTATGAATATAGGCTACTTTGGATAGACGCTACTATACCTGGCTACCGTCAATGACCAAGCCCTGACAAATCAACTACAAATGGACTAATAGAGTCTAATTTGCACAGTGGGAAAAGAGCCTCGGAGTTGATGTTTCCAAGATGGTTGCAAACTAGTAGTTACAATGGTCACAAATGGTTATATACAGTTTTCAAAAAGCTACACTAGTTCTTAACTGGTGGGATATTGGTTCAGGACTTTGGAAAATTAGGGACAGCTGTTGGGGGGCCCTTTTTCTAACTCTGATTGGTGTGGGTTGTTACATACAGCCCTATGTGACTGTTGATAACCAGCTTAGAACTATTAGCAACCAGACTTGAAACAATTATATATCATCCAAATAAGTTGAATGATATATAATCCTTATAATACGGTCGCTAGTTTGATTATAAGGTGCAATGTGTTCTTGACTAGGTGTAAGCTGGTTGACCCCAGTACTATATCTTATTACAGCGTCGACCCTCTTTCCACTACGTGATCATTCCTATCCACAGTCAGGTCCGGGCTTGGAATTCCAGATAAGATTCCGAGGATTTGATTGTATCACTGTCTCTGTTCAATGACCCTTCTTGGACTTGGAATATGTTGTTATGTATAGTGTTTGATGGTCAATCTCAAGAGATTGTACATTGCAAATACTGCTAGCCGAGCACTATAACGCTACTATACCGAAGGCTACAGCCGTGCCACCTCCCGATTCAAGTCATACTCATCTACCAAGACCTCTCCGCACGTGGCGCCCGTCACGTACGCGGTCGCCTGCGTGTGGTTGTTGGTCAACACCGGCACCACGCTCATGTCCGCGATGCGCAGGTTCTCCACCCCCATCATCCGGAAGTGGCTGTCCACCACGGCATCACTCTCCCCCGGGCGGCCCATCTTGGCCGTTCCCGTCATGTGCCAGCTCGACCCCAGCGTGTTCTTCCAGTGCTCCAGGATATCCGCGTCCGAGTCCGACGCCGGTGCAATCACCGTCTCGACCACGTCCTTCTGGAAGGATGGGTGGCGGGTCACCTCCAGCGCATGGCGGAAGATCTCGATGCAGGCGCGGCGGTCGAAGTCATGAGACAAGAATTTCGGATCAAACAACAACGGGGCGTTGGGGTCAGAGGACTGCAGTCGCACTTCGCCGCTGGATTGCTCGTTCATCAGGAACACCAACATGCAGATGTAGCTGTAATCCGGCGGCCATTGCGGCGCCACGAGATGCAGAGGAAAATGCGTGAGGAACTCGTAGTGCGGGACCGTCGGGCGTTGCAGGAAGTCTTGCACGTCGGTGGGAAGAGCCTGGAACTCTGCCGTTCGCACCAGCCGGTCGGATTTGAGCCAGCCGGCGGCGATCTGGCACGAATGCCGCGCCCAGGGCCCCGTGCCGTCCTTCTTCCATTGCGCCATGGCAGTTTTCATGGCGGCTTGATCGCCGAAGAACGCATTGCGGTCGTTGGTCGCGGGATCGCGTTTGAAGCACAGCGGGGCGAAGAAATGATCCCGCAGGCTCTTGCCCAGGGCAGGGATATCCTTACGGACGGGTATCTGGAACTGTTGAAGTTGCTCGGCCGGCCCGAGACCTGAATGCATGAGGATGCGCGGCGTGTCCAATGAGCCTGCGGTGAGAACCACTTCGCTGGAGGCCAAATCTGCAAAGGCGCGTTAGCTGGGCACTCGTGGATTTCATGCAATAACCTAAGCATACACTGTCTTCCGTTTGACTCTACACCTACAGCCTTGGTCCCGTCTAAGATGACCCGCTGCACGGGCGCTTCGGTGATGATCGTCAGATTGTCCGGTACCCCCTCGAGAAGATCTGTCGCGGTCACTCTACGACCCTTGTGGGATGAGTTGATGATCAGGCCCATGCCGATCGGGTTGCCTGAGTTGTGATCCGGGTTTCGAGTCAGACCCGCCTGCTCGAACACGTCTAGCATGAGCGGGAGATCCTGCTCCCATTCACGAGCAAAGCCTACCCGCAAAGCACCAGCCGATCCGTGATTCAAGGCTTGTGGGGACGCGTATTTGGCATTTTTGGGGTCAACAATAGCGCCGTCAAAGGTTTCGAGGCCGCAAAATCTCCTCCTCATCCGCTCCCAGCCAAAGGTCTCATCTCCGACGAGCGCGGCCCACTGATCGTAATCATCACGGGCGCCCACTGTGTAGACGCCAAAGTTGATTGCACTGCTGCCCCCGAGCACCTTGCCGCGCGAGTAATCAATCTGTCGTCCATTGCAGTGTTCCTGGGGCGTGGTTTTGTACCCCCAGTTCATATCTCCTTGGAGGAACGTCGACCATCGCTGACCATCCACGCGAAGAGAAAGATCCTCATTCCGCGGGCCGGCCTCCAGCAGCAGGACTCGTGGGTGTTTAGCGGAACGAGCGAGCGTCGAAGCAAGGGCACAGCCCGCCGGACCCCCTGCTTCCAGTCAGTCGGTCGAGCAAATAACGATCCCCATGGCACTCACCACCGACTACGACGAACTCCCACGTGTGGTTCATCGGCAATATCTAATACGAAATCAAAAGCTGATCATCGTAGGTCTCCAAGCAGGTCAGTACCGAACAAGCAAATTTCAGCTTGCGCAGCTTAAGTTCAATGAACAATAGCAACAACGCACTGCCGGGTGGCCTGGTTTCCTGGTTTATAAATAGCTGGCGCAAGACTGTGCTTCACTAGCGAGTCAGGGCGCTAGATAGGATCGACAAGAGAAGACAGAGTCTGACCCCGCTTGTCCTACTTGCATCGGCACTGATTATGCTATCAGCTTTACGACGATTCTCCTTTTTGGGAAATTGCGGCGGTGAGGGGTGCTGTTTCGACGACGTTTATCGTGTGCAACAAAAGGCTGTTGGGGTGATCGTCACATTCAATCACCCATGACCCACTTGGTGATCGAGAGCATGAGCCTTGAGATGAGCCAGACCAGGGAAGATCATCACTCATGAGAGACAACGATGGGGAAAATGGAACCGCGCCAAGGTATGAGAGCTCCATTGTTGAGAAATCATCCATGACGATCCGCGGCATCACGACTATTTTCCCCGCACCGCCTTGGCAAAGAGATGCATAGTAGCATAGGAATTATTCATCTCCCACCCTCAAGGGCCCAAACACCTGACTTGAGAATTCGGGTTATTCAAGATTAAGTTTGCCTGTGCGCGTCAGGACCCGGGAAGTGCATCGTGGGGGAAATGGCCCAATAAATGGGGCATTCTGCGAATTAGGGGCATTTCAAGCACCGCATTGAACGACAAGCATGGGAAAATGCATTTTCGCTTTGGTCTTGAACTCTAGCGAGTCAAGAGGTCAAGAAAGACATCTGTACCGGGCGCATTGGCTATGGAACGTATCTATATTATGCTGCAATATCATCTAAGCTGGCTCCAATGGCCTGGTGGAGTCAACCGAGAATCAATGGTTTCGAATGGATGATACGTATGTCGCGGCTGCTGAATCGCGTTCGGAATGATCTGTAGCGCATAGGAACCTCAAGAACTACCTTGAAACGAACAGCCAATCGAGTCACGGTCGCTGACATGATGCATGAAGACAGGGCAACCATGGATCCACACCATCGCAGGCGAGCATAGCACAGGAAAGATGGTTGAATTGTCTCCATGACGGAAACGTTTGAAACCATGTTCAGTTCTCTGATTACTCGGGTTGTGAATTGTATATCAACAAGTCCCAGGGTGTCTGATCATTCGGGCTCTCGTCGCAACACAACAAACTTCTCGAAGCTAAACAGATTCAATCCCCGACTTAATGATAAGGGATTGGTATCTCAAGGGAGATTGTTGCCCCTGCGAGATACTAATACTAACACCGTGTCTGTGACAAGGACCATGTTTTCGAGTCGAGATCAGCACTGGCCAATTAGAGACTGCAAGGGCCCCTTTCATAAAATTGGTGGGGGAGAGGCTGGTAGGTATGATTGGTGTCGTTCTGTACACACAACTGTAAGGCATCTTCATGTCATGGTATCTGCAGAGCGTGGCCTTCGCGTGGCAAGTTGTGGATCAGCGTCAAGACCCTTACGGTGTTCGTCTGAGGGGGATGGTTCTAGGCCTGGGGTGCATCGATTAAGAGTCGATGCCAGGCGGGGCCCCACAAACTAATGAACGACGACGACAACAACAACAATATCACTGATCGGGCACCTTGGACCTCTTCGAATCTTTCGAGTAAGTAGGCTGGCTCACTCATTCCGCAATGCCGGTCATCTTCATTAGACTTTTGCGATACTCGTAAAGTTATCCCTTGACATATGGTGGCCCACACTATCGATCGAGCCCTGACATCGGGTGACTCCGACCGACACTATGGAATGGAATCAAGGTTGAAACACGGAGAAATGGATCTTGGCAACACATAACGCTATGAAGGAAAGTCGGAAGAGTCAGAAGAGTCAGGAGAGTCAGGAGAGTCAGGTCTCGGACGAGAAGCGAAGGCGAAAACAACTGGAACCTAGGTAGGCGTAGACATTTCCGAATTGATCCCGAAACCGAAGAAGAAGGGAGAAAGGAATGGATGAAGAGGGGAGAGAACCAGGGAAAAGGCACGGCTGCCAGCCATGTGACTGGCCCGGCCTGAGTAACGAGGCACGCCAGTGGCTGGCCTGGTCCCTAAGGCCCGTAGCCATTCCAGGAGAAATCAGCAGCAGCATCGCCCATCATAGGCTCAAGCAATTAATCCTTCCTTCCCAACCCCGGACTTTCCCCCCTCCCCTCTTCTCTTCGCTCTGCCTCGATATTCTCCCTACTGTCTGCTCTTCTCCTTTCCCCATCCTCTTCTCGATTTCTAGTGAACCTTCAAGCCTTACTTCTCCCCGGTCTGCCCTCCGCCGCTCCTCGCACATCGTTTTCTTATCTATCGCGGCCATCAGTTTACGGCCTACTGTACAGTATAATTAAATAGCCGGTGGCGACTCGTCTTTACCCCTCCCGTCTGGAGTGGAAGGGGGATCGCTTGCGATCTTCTCTCTCCAATTCCTGTTCCAGACTTCCTGTCTCCTTTCCCCGGTCGGAACTCCTTTTCCTCAATTCTCTTGCTCATTCTCCTCCTCCTCCTCCTCCTCCTGCTCCTCCCTTGGGGGATTGAGTTCAAATAAATTTTCCAGCGGCGCCGTCTCGCAGCCTGTCTCCAATCCTCACTTGCGTCGCGTTCATCCGAGGCCGCCCGTTCTCCCCCTTCATTCTGCAGGAACGCCAGCATTTGCCGCCACTGCGTTTCCCCTGCCACTAGCGCACCGTTCAGGCACATAAATAGAAACCTTCAGCTGCTGGGAAGGGAAATTTCGCTGCTATTCGGACTTTTAATACGCTCGGACAGCACTGATTTGAGGTTCCAGCAAGAGGCCGTTTCCTCAACCTACCCGACCAACCCGGGTGGTCGAGCGTACTGCGCCCGATCAGCTGGTCAGTCGTCAGGTCTGGAACAAATTAAAGCATGCGAATGAGACTGCGCTTCGACCCTCAAGGCTTCCCATTGAACTCTTGCGCTATATTGTCCCTGACCATGGCTCTCTTGAGTTGTCAAGCGGGCCAACGTTAGTTTCGCATATTATACTGGTGTGCCTGACCCTGTGCCCCGGTACCTCACGATATTTTCACAATTAGTTGCGAGTGTCTCTTCCTCTGGTCGAACGGTGACCGGAAGCCGTGGTGATATCAGCGTCTTTCCTTTGTCGTCATGTGGGACTCTCTCTCCAACCCGCCGGAGGGCCTCATCGGAGGTTACCAAGGGTCCAGCCTCGTGATCAAGATCTTGATGGCTGTCTTCAGTGCTATTGCCCTCTACAATGCAGTCGAACTCGTTATTCTCATTTTTCTCACTTTCACTCGCTACAGCGGACTCTACTTTTGGAGCATGCTTTTGTCCGACGTCCTCGGGGTCATTCCCCACGCGGTTGGTTATTTGCTGGAATTTTTTGCGGTTGGCCCATTGTGGTTCGCGGTCACTCTTTCGACGATCGGTTTCTACTTCATGGTGCCGGGCCAATCCATTGTGTTATACTCTCGTCTTCATCTGGTGGTCCAAAGCCAAACGACCCTTCGACGTGTTCTCGCCATGATCATCATTGATGCGATCATCCTCCTGATTCCTACGACTGTCCTTACCTACAGCACTATCTACATCGGCTCCGAACCGATCATCCGAGGGTATAATGTGATGGAGCGAATGCAGCTGGCCTGGTTTTGCGCTCAGGAGATTCTCATCTCCGGGATTTACATCGTTGAAACGATCAATTTACTCCGCTTGCGACCGGAAAAGGATCCGCAACGACACAAGAGCATGTACGAGTTGATTGCAATTAATATGGTCATTGTCTTGTTGGATGTGTCGCTCCTCGTGCTGGAGTATGTGGGACTGTACACCCTCCAGACCACGCTCAAGGCCGCCGTCTACAGCGTCAAATTGAAGCTGGAGTTCGGAGTGTTGCGAAAACTTGTCTCGCTCGTCAATACCCGTCCATCCGAATCCAGCTCGACCGATCAGGATGATTTCCCGAACTTCGTGGACCCAGAGCAGATCACGGGCGATGTCACGCGAGCAGCTCCTCCCAGCGCGCACACGCAGTCGCGATACCCCTGGACAGCCCTTTCCATGGACAGCCTGGCTTTATCCGAACGTAGAAGGCCCCTGTCGCAGTCGTCGGAGGCTCCCCGGCCTCCTTGATGTATGGTTCAGGCCACTATTGAAGTTGATCGCCCAAGCGTGAAACAAAAGTACGTTTTGAGGGACACGACCTGCATCTCTCTGTGACCTGTCATATCCGTTCCCCGGGTTGCGACGTGGCTATTGAGATCTAGTTCCCTCGAACCCCTAACAGATCAGGTGTTCGGGGAATGACCATGCCAGCTGCAGCCAACGAGGAGCTGAATGCCTTCCAAAGGCGACCTGCCAAGCGTGCCCACTGGGTCGCCTAGTTTGCCCGCTTGATTCGGTCCGAACCCCGTGCCTGCCCGGGATTTGCGGCAGTCCTTGGCCCAAGCGCCAACAGGACTGCGCGATTCTTCTTTGGACATGGTTACTGCATACGCCTTTTCCCAGATCGAGCGAAGAGAAGGGACAATCGGTCAAGAAGCCGATTTGTGTATACCTTGTATAGACTTCGCACCAGTCATATTGTACATATCATTTCTGTAAACCTAGTGGTGTGCGCTGCATATACCCAATCTAGATTCATCTTCGTGTTCATCTCGAGGATCTGACATCTGTCATATCTAATATTTAATAAGTTGATCTTCGTTAGATATTCCATAGAGGAAGAACAAGAGAAAATAAAAGGCTGCCGTAAATCGATGAATCGAATGGATTGGAGAGAGCCAAGGAACCGGATCCTGGGTGGATTTAGGTAGAGAATCAACCTGCTCTGTACGGAGTAGTAATAGTAATAATACGAGGCACTAAGAAGAATGATGCAAAAGTACCGTCAAGGCCCGGCGGCGCTGGAAAGTGCATCGGACCCGAGCCCGAGTCGTCGGGAAGGGTGGACAGATCGAAATCGAAATCCTTAGCGTCGGGATTTTAAGGCAATCGGATCCGCTCATTACTTTATGAGTAATAATCGTAGGTCATATAGATAGTCTCGGCCCCAGGCAGGGCAGGTTCGGGTTCGGGTTCAGCGGTTGCAGCTTCACTAGTGGGAATTGGACTAGGCAGAAAAGCCACGATACCACCAAAGATGAGAGAAGGATTCAGAGTAATGAAAAGGGAGGAAGACACTCTCAACCAAGCCTTGCCCAGCATTGTGTCTAGGCTTTCAGGGTAGGTGTCTCAAGCAGGTTTTTTTGTTGCATCAGTTCATCAGTTGGCATTTAAGCACCTGCCCCCTCCCTTCCCGTTTGCTGCCCACTGCGGGTGGTCCACCAAGGCCACTGGCCAGTTCAAGTCTGATTGTTTGACTACGATTCGGGTCATCGCGTCCCCACTAGCTGCAGTATATCCGAGCTGACGGTAATATGATCTCCCCTGCCCCCTCCCCTCGGGCCACAAGGCAAGGCAACGGAATCCACCCGTCTTATCGAGATTCGAGACGAGCATGGCAGAATTTTCTGGCAAATTCGTAACAATACGTATGGACTTTGTGACTGTGCAGGCTCCTCATAGAAGAAAGGGGGCGCCAAGAATCATGTCGTGCAAGTTTGTTGTTGTTGATGATGATGATGATGATGATGATGATGATGGCGATCCACACTGGCTTGCCATTCCAGGCTTGTGACAGGAACACTGGGCACCTAGTAGTCTCCCTGCTGGGTCGAATGTGTATAAAAAAGGGGATGTTATTGATTTGACATTAATACTTAAGGGTTTCGAAATGATCGAGCTCATTCCGCTAAGAAATCTTGAAATAACTACCTGCTGCTGCTTCCCTATTGACTCGGTTACCAAAACTACGGTACTCATTCCACTCACTCAGCGGCTCGGGGGAAGAGATAACTTCAGGCCTAGTTCGCCGTAGGCCCTGGTCGGTTATTTCAAAAAGAAAAAAAAAACCCCCCCATCGTGGGGTCAACACCGGAAAACTTTCCCAGGGAGAAAGAAGTTAGCGAGTGTTGAGTGATACCAAACCCTCGCAGCCCCTTCCTTCGTCCTTCCTTTCCATTTCCTTTCCCGTACTCCGTACCAGAGAAAGAAAGGGCAAGCAGACAGCTGAGGTAAGCTGGATACACTGCACTGACTCGATCAATTCGGGTTGCCGCATCCAGCCGTCACGGGGTGTCAAAAAGGGGTGTCTGATTTGTCGGAACGCCATCCGATCAAATTGGAGGTGATCTTTTCCTCTCCCAGGCTCTTCCAGGCTCTTGAGTCCCAGCGACAGCGCGGCGAGGGTAGAACCAGTCTTCCTGGCCCTCTTCATTGGTGCTGCCAACTTTTTGTGCAGTAACGGCTGGAGACTAAACCGAATCGAGCTTCTCACCCACCCGGCCGGGCCGCGTTGATTCGTTTTCCCCATCAATTTCAGTGCAAAGTTACTCAAACTCTCAAAGTCACCCATGGGGTTTGTCGAAAGTGTGGAATTCAATCTTGAAGACTGGTGAGACTAGACTCAGAAAACTGGCAAGTCTGACAAGATTCGGGGTAGACTTACATGTGTAGAAGAGAGAAGAACTTGTGTGCTCCAGAGGCTTGTTGGATAATAGTGAGTGCTGCTTCCTGTACTTACTCCCTTGGGCCTCCAACTGCCTACTACCAACAACCACCTTCACCTTTCCACTCCCCTCTCCCTTCCAACCTCTTTCTCTCTCTTCCTCATACAGAACCACCTCTTCCTCCCGAAGACACCGGAAGGGCAGAATAACCATAACAACGTCAACATCATTCGTCGACGCCATTACCGATAATAACCACAAGCTATTTCTGCACAGCACCCCCTCTTTGCCTGCATCATCGATCAAGCCATCGTGCGCCCCTCCCTTCTTCTTCTTCCTCCACTCGCCTCTTCGCCCCCTTCCCCGTCATCGCATGCTGGGCTCTAGCTGTTGTGGGTTTTCCTCATCCTGCCTTTGTGTTATTATTCTTATTAGTTTATTCTTATTTCTCATCCGTCCGTCCCAACCGGTTACTGTTCGCTTTTCCCGGGGTTGCCACTGACTGATTGGAGTCGCTAATTAATTCGTCTCTAGTACAATATCAGCCCCACGTGAAGGAACGGGATACCCTCCCCCCCTCCCCCTCCCCCTTCCCCCTCCTCCCTTGTGTGTCAGACTGTCAGCACTTGCTCTATTTCTTACCAGGGCTTTGTGGCGTTTGAGGCTTGCTCATCTCGGGGCAAGACTTGCAACTGTCTTGCGCAAGACACACTGTCAGGGTCCGGCCTGTGTGCATCATCGATCCATCGTCATACATTGCTCGCTTGAGAAAATCCGCCTATCTCGGACACCCGAACACACCACTCACTGATGTAAGCCAGTGGTTATCGGTCACCAATGCGCTGAAAAATTCCGTGGCAAGATCCTACATCAACCCACGGCCATCCTCTCTACAGAACGACGACGATGGTCGCAAACATGGATCCCTCCTCCGTCGCCAGTCAGCATGTGGACGACGATCCGCGGACGGACTTAGCGATTAATACCCACGAGGGCTCATCGGGATCGAGCCCAGAGAATTCCGATCTGAGTCGTGATACGAGCGTCGGCGGATCAGATAGAGTCTATCCCATCCGATCGATCGTGTCCGTCAACCCTTCCCCAACCAGTCCGTCTCAAGCCGTTGCAGCGACCAGCTCCACGCAGTCTCGAAGCGGAGCTCGATCCTACTCGATCATAGATTCCGACACCTGGGATCAACTTCGTTCACAACCCGTCCTTACTCCACCAAGCGATGCAGCTGCCAGTAGTAGCGAACCTCAATACACCCCCACAACCTCCGAAGGCGCCTCCCAACAACCATCTGAAGGCCACTCACGTAACTCAGACGCTGGGATAAGCGTGCCTGTCGATTCAAACGGGGCACTGCTGCCGGTGGACAAGAACAAGACGCATGTCACCTCCCGATTCCAACATGTCGTGACTCAAGGCGGACACGCCGTGATTACGGGCAGCACCCCGGATACCTTCATGGCTTGCGAGGACGAACCAATCCACATTCCGGGGGCAGTACAAAGCTTTGGAGTCTTGCTTGCCATGCGAGAAGACGAAGATGGTATATTGTCGGTCCGGGTCGCAAGTGAAAATTCAGAGGCAATTTTGGACCACTCCCCCAGCAGTCTGTTCGCCCTGGAGAGCTTCTGCGATCTGTTGTCAGAGGATCAGGCGGACATCCTTCTCGATCATGTCGACTTTGTTCGCGATGAAGGTCATGATCCCAGTGCGGACGGACCAGAGGTCTTCATATTGTCGGTGAACGATCGCACTGGACGCCCCCGGCGATTTTGGTGCGCCATCCATGTCATTCCAACTCAACGAGAGATCATCATCTGCGAGTTTGAGTTGGAGGATGACCGGCTCAACCCTCTCAACATGGGCGGTCGCACAACCCCCCTGACCCAATCCGACACTCTTGGGTTTGACCCCACCCCCGAGCAACTGGCAAGCAGCACCGTTAATATCAGCCAACCACTACGAGTCCTTCGAAATGCCCGCAGGAGACGCGGTGAAGCCGCCGCCATGGAGGTCTTCAGCATCGTCAGTCAAATCCAGGATCAATTAGGGGATGCCAAAACTCTTGATACACTCCTCAACATTACAGTGGGTCTGGTGAAAGAATTGACCGGGTTCCATCGTGTGATGATTTATCAATTCGATAGCGAATATAACGGTACCGTCGTGGCGGAGTTGGTTGACCCGCGGACCACCAAAGATCTCTATAAGGGGCTGCATTTCCCCGCTGCGGATATTCCCAGACAAGCGCGAGATCTGTATCGCATAAATAAGGTTCGATTACTCTACGATCGGGACCAGCTTACTTCACGGCTTGTCTGCCGCAGTTCACAGGATCTAGAAACGCCTCTGGATCTGACCCACGCCCATCTACGAGCAATGTCGCCCATTCACATCCGTTACCTCGCTAACATGGGCGTGCGTTCGTCCATGTCCATCAGTATCAACAGCCCTAATGACTTATGGGGTTTAATCTCATGCCATACCCACGGCGACGCGGCTATGAGGGTACCTTTTCCCATACGCAAAATGTGTCGACTGATCGGGGACACGCTTTCGCGCAATATTGAGCGTCTTTCCTACACCTCACGATTGCAAGCTCGCAAGCTGATTAACACCATTCCGACCGATGCAAATCCCTCGGGTTATATCATTGCCTCGTCCGATGATATGCTGAAATTATTCGATGCGGATTATGGGGCTATCTCGATCCGCGGCGAAACCAAAATCTTGGGCAAGTCAACTGAGTCTCATGAAATGTTGGCTTTGCTAGAATTCCTGAAGATGCGTCGGCTTCATTCGGTGGTTGCATCGCATCATGTAACGAAAGATTTCCCCGATTTGCACTATCCTCCAGGCTTCAAGCATATCTCGGGTATGCTTTATGTGCCGCTATCTTCCGATGGCAAGGACTTCATTGTCTTTTTCCGCAAGGGCCAGCTGACGGAGATCAAATGGGGCGGCAATCCTCATGAGAAGGAATTCAAAGATGGTCATTTGGAGCCCCGAAAGAGTTTCCAGGTCTGGAGCGAAACAGTGATCGACCAGTCTCGCGAATGGTCCGAGTCTGAAGTCGAAACTGCCGCTGTTCTTTGCCTTGTATATGGTAAATTTATCAAGGTCTGGCGACAGCAAGAAGCCGCCCTGGAGGGATCGCAGTTGACAAAGCTACTGCTGGCTAACTCCGCCCATGAGGTCCGGACCCCGTTGAATGCCATCATCAACTACCTCGAGATTGCCCTAGAGGGCGTTCTGGATACCGAGACTCGCGACAATCTCACCAAATCTTACTCTGCCTCCAAATCTCTCATTTACGTCATCAACGATCTCTTGGACCTCACGAATACCGAAAAGGGTCAAAATTTGATCAAAGACGAGGCCTTTGATCTACCTCAGATCTTCAAGGAGGCAACTGCCATGTTTGAAGGGGAAGCTAAACGCAAGGGCATCAAGTACACTGTGATCACTCATCCCGGAATTCCTCGCACTGTCCTAGGCGACGAACGCCGCGTGCGGCAGGCGATCAGCAACCTCATTTCTAATGCAGTTCAATACACAACCGATGGCGAGGTCACTGTCGAATTCTGGCGCGCTCCAGTCACCCCAGAGCCCGACGTCGTCACCATCCAGATGACAGTGCTTGATACGGGATGCGGAATGTCCGACACCATGCTCGAAACCTTGTTCCAGGAGCTTGAACAGGTCTCCTACAACGACGACGATACTTACTTCTTCGATCGCGATCCCAACAATCCAACCGAAGCGAACGCAGAAGAAGGAGAAAAGGGAGTCCTGGGCTTAGGATTGGCGTTGGTGTCGCGAATCGTCCGCAACACTCACGGTCAGCTCAGTGTCCGGTCAGAACAAGGCAAAGGAAGCCGATTTCAGATCTCGCTCCAGTTCGTGACTGCAAGCGATGAGCAGCCGGAATTAGAGCCGGCTGACATTCCGGCTCATACTGATAGCCCCACACCCTTCCAGGCGAAAGAAGACTTTGTGCTCGTGGACAACAGCTCAACCACCCCTCACGAGGGCCGACGGCGTAGCGGCGACAGCTCGCGAGCTGGTAGTGCTGAGAAATTGCCTAACCAGATTCCGATCGACAGCCTCAAAGATAAGCTTGCTGGCGTATCTATCCGAGAGCTGTCTAAACTTGCCCAAACCGAGTCAGCAGATGACGCCGCAGACTCCTCACAACCTGATACGAAGGTGCCCGCATCACCCATCATGCAACCATCTGGGGTTCCAGCGATTCTCCAGGGTCCCGAGCCGAAGACTCCTTCCGGCGTCTATAGTATCCTTGTGGCGGAAGACGATCCTATCAACAGCAAGATCATACAAAAAAGACTCGAAAAGGCCGGTCACGCTGTTCACTTGACCGTCAACGGCGAAGAATGCGCAGCGGCATTCCGTGCCGATTCTGCGCGCTATGACCTCGTGTTGATGGACATACAGGTAAGCGATGGCCCATCACCCAATGAGATGTGCCATACTAATTTTCTATTACCAATTAGATGCCTATTGTCGACGGTATAAACTCGACTAAGATGATCCGCCAGCTCGAGAAGGAGCCGAACTGTTTGCTTTCCCGTATCGCACAAGCCAACAATCGAGTACCTATTTTTGCAGTGTCCGCCTCTCTCCTCGAAAAAGACATGCCCCTGTATGTTGGTGCAGGCTTCGATGGATGGGTGATGAAGCCCATCAACTTCAACCGTCTCAATCTGCTTCTCAGTGGACTTGAAGACGAGAAAGCCCGCAAAAACGCCACCTATCGGCCTGGAGATTGGGAGAATGGGGGCTGGTTCTAGATTGTCTCAAGCGCTTACGGCTCGCTTACCCTCCGACTTCTCCCTGGTTCTCGAATTCATGCCGACTCTTATCTCCGATCATATCAACCCATATGTCTCCGAAAATCCTCCCATCTCTCTGCCCTTTTATCCTTCTACACGACGAAGAACGAAAATCTTATGACCGGTTACGATGCCTTTTGTTTCCAGAAGCATGTGATCTTCGTATCCTTTTTGTTTTATCTTTGTTGGGATGTCGTTATCAAAGTCATAATGACGAAAAATTCGTTGCATTTACACTCTGGTCGTTTTTTCTGTCTTGTCTTCTGGGACTGCTTTTACTCAAACCATATATCCTTTCCATGTATACCCCACTAGTTTGGACTGGGCCTTATCATTTCTTCTGACCGTCAATGGCCGGACTTGCCTCTTATTTTCTTGGTTCTCGACTACATGTTTTTCGTTCGAGTAACTACCACAGCTTTTGCGCAGTTCAAAATACACAACGACCATTTATTTTTTTTTGTTTGTTCTTGTCTGTGTGTGAGTGTGTATGTGTATGTTTATTAGAATTCTCTCCTGGAGTTAGGGGTCGTTTCGAAGCATGCAGATGCAATTATGGTGGACGGGATCTGGGTTGGAGTTTTGGCGGGATGCCATTGCCATTGGTCTCTAAGAGGCAGAATGCATTCACTTTGCACCACATTCAAGTGCAGTCCCTTTCTCGGGTATTTGATGACCATGTATTAGGGGTTTGAGGCTTGTCCTGCTTGATCACTTTGATCCAACAGTGGTCGAATGGGGGACAGAAAGCTTTTGCTTTAATTTCGATCTAGATCATTCCGGATGATGGCCGTTCCCTTTTCACTCGGCTTCATGTGGCCAGCCAGCCGCCCTGGATCTGTATCTTCGTAGCGGTCCCCCCACCCCTATTGCCCTCCCATCCCGTTTCGAACCCGAGCTATTTGCCCTTTGCTAGATACAAACAGACAGATCGAGATACGAAGTTTAGCTCGTGCCGAAGTGTACGTACTTAACGCACGAACAGGCAATCTTCTATGACGTGAGTAGAGGCGAGATTTTGCAAGTCGAGAATTCTATATTGGCTGTATTGGCGGTTGTTTTTGTTCCCTGCCCCCCCCCCCCCCCCCCCCCCCGGTTTGTTAGGGGGTTCCGGGTTCTAGGGTAGGGTAGGCTTGTGCTTTGCCTCGGACGGGACCCGTCGGTTCGAGTTCTATCATTTTTTTTTCTTCTTCCTCGGGGCGTCTCGGGTGCGGCCCGTTTCTTTTTCTTCGGAGAAAGGAGGTGGGAGATAGGAGGCTGTCTCGGTGACTCTTCGGTTTGCCGACTCGCGAGGAGAGTCTGGGACAAGGGGCGTTTTGCAATTCAAAGGCCCGCACCCGTTGCCCCCCCCCCCCCCCCAACGGGCCGGGCTGATGGTTGGGATAGAGAAAATGAGGGATGGGGTGTGTGCGGTATAGTGAAGGTTCGAGAGGTTAGGAGTGCAGATGGCTTTGCAGCGTGAGCGAGCTCGTTTATGATGTTAATGGAGTGTGATGGTGTGTAGCTTGGAAAGGTGGAATGGGCCACGGTTGAGGGATGATAGTAGGGTAGATCTCTATTGCATATGGTCTATCTCGGTATATGTAGACATCTTACAGCAGATATGGAAATGGATTCATATCATCTCGGTTTCGGCTACATTATACATGACAAGAGTCCCACCAGGGTATATTTCATCACTGGAATAGAACAAGCAGCTAGGTCTGCAAATTAGTACGACACGAAGAATCTTTCATTACAAACTCGGGTAAGATGAGGAAGAGCGGTAAGACACCATCAGCAACGAGCACCGACAACTTCTTATACTGCGTTACTCCATGTTCGCGGTGGAAAATGATGCTGAGCGCTGAGCGTGGGCTCGAGGGCCTCGAGGTCTTGTCGCCCGTAGACGAGTGGGTCGGTCGACAGCGTGCGGGATGTGGTCGCCATCGAGTCGCCCGTCCTGGGTGACGAGGGTGTCTCCGGGGTCTTATCCGGGTTGACGGTCACTTCTTGGTGGGTCTGGGTTGTCTCCTGCGAGCTTGGCTGTCGGACGGGCTGCGCCCCGGTGCTGCGCGCAGACCCTTGGTTGAATTGCAGGTTGTCGATCTCGGGGGAATTATCATTGAAGCGAAGGGAGCTGTCCTCGGTTGCCTGGTGGTGGCAGACGCCTGGAGCGCTTTGAATCAGGCGAATTAGTTTCCCCAGACTGAAGAACTCTAGCTTCAGTTTGAGGACCGAGAAGAAAGCTGTCAGGGCAGAGATGATGTAGAGCTGGCCGCAGAGGACGACGACTACGATGATGATGTCGGTAACAACCATCATGGTGGTCGCGATAATCAAATAGATGACCATTTTGCGTCCTTCCCGGCCCTTGATCACGATCAGGGGTTTGAGGTTGCGGGCAGTCGCCCAGACGAAGACGCCTCCCACGACCATCTCGCGTACGCAGGTGGCTGTCACGGAGAGCTTCTCAAAGACTCTGTACAGATCTCTGACATGTTCGCCGTCAGGAGAGGCGGAAATAGTGACGATGATGGCCTGTGGGAGTAGAAATACCACCGAACTGATGACGATCATCCAGAATAGCCATCGAATCTTGCGGGCACTGGTGACGAGGTGAAGCCGCGAGTAGATGACCAGGGTGTTGCCGACATTGAGGGTGGGATAGCAAATCACAATGACGAAGACCAGACCAAAGCGCGCTTGCGGTACTGCGAACCACAGAAGTGTGATGACAATGGTGAAGATGAGGGTGGCAAGGGTCGATAAGAGCAGGCTCCAGAAGTACAGCCCCCGGCGACGCTTGAAGAAGTCAAATATTAGAAGCAGAAGCTCAAGCGAGCCAAATGCGGCCACCGCCACGAAACATGCAAGCAAGAAGGTCTTTGGAAGAGACACGGTGCGTATCAGCTGAATCGTGCCTGCCATGTTTGTTTCAGTCAATATCTGATCTGGTATAATGTGCGAACATGCTCTTTGATATCAAGGAAAGATCCATAAGGGGACGATCCGGTTCGAATAGGGGCGTGAATATTATATTCGAATCCAGGCAGGGCACTAAGGCCCAGCAGAGTCCAAACAAAGAAGTCTCAAAACAACGGAGAATATGGCTTGACACCCAGGCGCTACCGCGCATGATGGGTGACCTGAACTAATGGGATCATAGATTGCAGTGATCTCCATCGAGGCGCGTCAAGAGTAACCGATAAACAAAGCAGTCTGAACTGCGGGCTGATCCCTTCCATACCATGGTTCTCATGCTTTTGACAAGGGGAGCTGTCAAGCCTGTCCGTAGCGATGGCTGAGGGCTTGCTTTATCCGAAGTATGGTAGCCTCGATTCTCAACCGAACAAATGCAGGCTGTGCATTTCCGACCGCCGAACATTGACCACTTAGAAGCGAGAAGGCTAATGGGAGTAGAGTTACGCCATCGCTCGGCTTAAATGACTCCATCTTGATGTATTGCAGGGGGGACTGCGTTCACAGATACTCCCAGCGTGGCGAAACATTCAGCACACAATACATCGGGACTTGACCGTATCTATTTAATCAATTGCTGATACTCGCGAGCAGATGACACCAGAGCGGAGAGCCCCCCTTGCATGCTCTGTCACGCTTTACATTGCTTCGGATTGGCCGAAGCTTAATGTCGACCCATACCGTGGTAGACGGCGGCAGTTGGGCGAGTCTGGAACCGCCTATGTGCTCGAGCTTTCGATGCGCCAGACTTTAGACAAAGAAATCGCGAGAGATTTCCAGCCAAGGTTGAGCAATCGCTTGCCAGAGGCATATGACAGAGAGCTAATGTGCGCGACGACTTGGTGGCATCACTGACAATGTCTGGGACTACGGTGGAGGCCCTCCCTCGGCTGATACCTGCCTGGTCCCTGCTGATCAATACCGGATTCTCTAGCAGGCTTTCAGGGTCAAACGTGGCTAGCTCTGCTCTCAACCAGAGACTCAAGCTTTGATTTCCAGGGTTGAGCTCGCTGGCTATGGTCTGTGGCATGTAATGTAATATTGCATGTCGCACAGGATATTCTCATGGGTTCTTGTGATTGGGTAAACCCCTGTATGCAAAGAGGCTTGGTGTCGACCCCGGAAATCCAAGCTTGCAGGAGATGGTTTCCGGCAGGTTGTTGTGATTGGCCAGGTCGACGCAAGAGACTGCAGCTTGTTTATGCATACTAGTTAGGGAGTACCTTGATCCTCGGCCGCAGGGTGGGATCTAGTAGAATCCCCAAGCTAGTGCATCCTAGCAGACGAGAAATGGTAGAAAGAAGCACAGTTCCTGTACTTAGGCAGAATTCCAACTCAGCTAGATTCTGCATAGATGCTGACAGCCGAGGTCTGCCTGAGTTAGCCCCACGGGATATCTAGGCAACCGATGGAGGTCAAGATGCTCATGCTTGTGACACGGTGATGATTCAAGTCCGCTAAGTTATATTTGGCATGGTTATACGAGTAGCAAGCGCAAAGCGAGGGTGGGCAATTGGCAATGACAGAAGCACGAACAAAGAACGGAAACGGTTTCTAGAAAAGGAGAGGAGGAGGCGAGAAGTGTCGAGTATAGAGTGTGGATGGTGGAGAGGAAATCGAGGAAGTAAAGGAGAAGTCGGAGAAGCGGAGAGGGGAGCTCCAGTCCGTAACAGGCAAGTGGTCTGTGCGGCTGCAGCTGACGTTGACGTCGTTTTCTCCCCCTCGAAACTAAGGCAGCAATTCGTTCCCGCATCATCATCATCCATCATCCACCATCCATCATCCAGCCATCCATTCTTTCAATTGCCTTTCTTTCACTCTTTTCCATTCCAATTCCTACTATTATCAGGAGATATACTACCATTCCTCCGTTGACTAAATATGCTTTTGACTTAGCTTCATTCCATCCTTGTTTCCCTTTCTTCTTTCACTGATCCAGAATTTGATTTAACTCTCTCTCGCTACGCGAACAACACCGCCATGGTGCGCCTGTGGCC